TCAGAAAACATTTTTATTCTTTAAGGCCAGATGGGAAGCCTTGCCTCACCCCAGGCTGTGAGCCTCCTGGGCAGAGCTGGAACTTCTTTGGGTCCTATGAACCCTCTAACATGCTCTGAGTATAGGGTCTCAAATGTTTTTCCCATTGAGATTTTTCCCATTTTGAAGGATACACATTTCTTCACAAGAATGTTTCTTATACTCCTGAAGAGTTGATCATGTTTTATTGTGCATGTATACCTTGTGATTGCTTTTAAGAAAAATTAAATATGGGTTGGACTAAAGTTATATATTCAGCCTTTAGCTTGATTTTGTTTAGCTTTATTTGGTTTGATTTATTAAACAGAAAAACCTTTAGATTGTTTATAATCAAAGGAGGATGAAGATTTGAAAGAATATTCAGATAATTTAGGGTAAAGTAAATCTTTGTCCTAAAATACTCAGCAGAGGGCAAAAACTTTTTTAGAGTAAATATTTTTAGGTAATTCTTTTTTTCTCTCTCTCTTTCTGATTATAAAATATGGGGATTTTGAAAATAAAGAATTGTGTAAAAAAAATGATAATAAAATGATTATAGTCCCACCATTTAATTGCTACTATTTGGTATGTTTTCTGATTCATGTAGATTATTTTGTTAGAAACGTTTATGCCATGCATAGATTGCTATTTATTTATTTTTTATTTTAATAATTCTTTTTCCTCCACATTGTTAACCATTCTTTAAAAAGATGGTTTTTAATGGCTGTGTGCATAATAGCCCTTTGTTTGCAAAGCCTGTGAAGTATCTCACTACTCTCCTTTAGTGGGAATGAAGTTAATAATTAGTAAGTCCAGGCTTTTGCTGTTACAAATAAATCTTTGGTGTTCTTATTTCCTTACCTGTTAAATAGGATAGATTTCTGAAAGTGGAATTATCAGGTTAAAGGGTATAGGGTATGATAAGAACAACCGTAACACTTTTTATTACAGTGTGTCAGGTTTCACCCCAGAAAGATGGTATCAGAATTGTTGGTTTAGATTTTAACTCAGTTGCATTTAGACCTTTTCGCTATTTTCTGTTTCATCAGTAAGTATGGAGCATTTTAAAGCCATATTCTTAATTTACTCACTAGTTTTTAAGACCATGGCTCAAATTAAGATGACTACCATGAGTCATTTTTATAATTGGATGAGACCTTAAATATCATGTGTATATTAATAATAATAATTAAAGAAAAAATACATACAGCTTATAGGTTCTCACCTTTCTCCAGGGAATTTTTATGTTTCTAGCCAGCAGGCTATTTATTTACTTATTTTGTAGTTGGTTTACATGTTCTTCCCTGTAAGTTTTTTAAAAAAATAGTTACTTGTAAATTGGATGGAAAACAAAAAGCAAATTGAGATTGAATATGCATTTTAGATCTGTAAAGATAGCTTAGAGAACTGGTTCTTTTTTGTTCCATAACTTGTAGTTTAAAATAAATTTTATAGACCAATGTTACTTTATAAATTACCAGTATTAATTGATTTGAGCAGCTTGCCAGAGTCACTAAAAAGAATGTGAGAAACAAACTTGGGTAATTGTTGAAATCACGTGTGTGTGCTCTGTTCTTGGAGGCCAAGTTTGGTATAGGCATGTTTGTATTTAGCTTATTCTTTTAATTAGAACCATGCTTCATCCTGCTGTTTTTATAAAATTTTTGGAGAATTCTGAAGAGTCAGTGATCCACTAGGTTCCACTACACCGAAGGTTTTCATTTAGAACAAGGTGTCCAGTGATTTAGAGTTGCAGAATGAAGCTATCAGCAGCTCATAATTAATAAGACCTTTAAATGTTTAATCTGGAAGATATCTTATGGTTAATCAGTAGTTCGGGGGGTACTCAGCCATAGAAAAATTCAGTGTGGGTGTGTGGACAGGTATTTTGTTAAGCCCAGGCATATTACAGAATAAAACACAAAATTATAGGAAGTTTTAAGACAAGCCATTTGATGTCAAGGACATGTTATATTTACCACTTGCAGTCTGGGGCCAACCCTGGCCCTCAAGGAGCTAAGATCACTCGCCTTGTGTTTGGGTTCACTCAGTGGAGGAAAGAGCTCTGATAGAGTCTAGTCTTTCCTACTACAGATGGAGAAGTGAGGCCCAGAGAGTTTAAGGATCCTGCCCATGTTACACATGAAGTTACCTTGCATAATGGTAACTTCAACCCAAGTCCCTTCATCCTAGTTTAGTGATAGTGTTTGGCAGGTATATCTTACAATTTAAGTGCCATATTCTGCGGATACCCAAACGGTGTTGCATATGAGGGTTTGCAGTGACACTCATTGGATTAGAAAGTACCTCAGCATTGGCTCATTGCTTATTGAGAAAATGATCTCTGAAAGACCACCCTGTCATTTCAGTAAAGCTGGGCACCCAAAAGCTAGCTGTATCTCGAGGGAGGCTGGTTGACTGCTTCTGCATACGGGAGCCCAGCTTAAGTGCCGGGGTCTGAAGGGCAAGGAGGTGGTGGTGATATGTAGTTATGTGATTTTAGTCCAAGGCCACAGCATCACAACAGGAGGGTGTCTCCTGGAAGAGATTAATGACACCAGGGGCAGCATAATATACATAATTACACTGTTCTCTACCAGCCATTTTTATGTCCCCTGACAACAGCTAGCACAGAGTTAAATGTAAATGGTACCCACTTAATACTAAGTTAAATTTATTCATAAAGTGTGTGGTAGGGTGTACATACGTGTTTATGTATACAGACGCATACCTGCTGACTTTTCACATTGGGACTGTGTTTTATGGGAGGAAAATCATGGAAAAACAGAGCTAAACTAGCCAAGTTCTTCTGTTAAAATTCACCTGCAAAAGGACAGTTTGCTGTAATATTTTTGTTTAAATGCTTGCTGGTGTTACGTCCTCGATTTAACCCATGTATCAGGTCATTATCCAGAAGACGAAATGTTGTTACAGAATAGATAGATGCCCTAAGTTAAGTTGATCAGTCATGTAGTATGCTACAGAGCTTTCAGGCCCATTAATAATACCAAGGTAGAATTTTTTCATAGAGCATAACCATAGAATTAACTTGAAACTGGAACAGCAGACAATTTGAAAACAAATGTGGCCTGGTGCTGCGATCACATAACTGAAGAATGATCCTGACGTTTTAGAGGAGGACCTAGAAATTCAACATTTTTTGAATTTATGTGGCTAAATGGAAGGAACCTTCGCTCACACGCAGCTTATTGAAAGTGGAATGTGCAAGTGAGTTGAAGCTGACAAGAAGCAGGGGTGGTGCACAGTGTGACTGATACTGCTCTTGTGTCTGAGCGTCCTGTGAAGCTGAGGACAGTGGTGAAGAAGGCAGAGTCCTTGTGAAAGGCTGCTTTGGTCTTTGACCCAGTGATTTAGTTCCTTTATAAAAGGGGACCCGTAGTGTTGCACATGACTTCCTACTCACATGAGGAAATTTGTTTAAAATTGCCTTGCAGATTCAGAGTGGTAAATATGACTCTCATTAAAGAATAAGGGAGAGAGGGAACTAATATGTATTAAGTCTTTGAGTGCCACCTACTAAGCATGGAATATACACTGCCTCACTTAGTCCTCACAGTAGCCTTTTTAAAAAAAATCATCATCTTGCAAGCATACCGGCATTGGGGCTTAGAGCTTATAGAGCTTTTTCCCAGATCATACCTGCAGTCTGCCTCTGCTTTCATATGTGCCGTCTGCTCTAGACTGTGAGCTCCTGAGGGCAGTACCATGCCTGCGTTTGCTCACGGCCAGGAGCCCCGTCCCAGGCTCTTCCAGGTCAGCTCCGGAGCGTTTTGATCTCCTGCATCACTGGGAAGTGGAGCTGTACTCCAGGTGGGCCCATAGTGAAAACGCTGATGCGTGTGCTGCAAGTCCCTGGTCAGCCCCCACTCACGTCTTCCTGAGAAGAAGCATGCTCATATATTGAACTCACCGCAGCAGAGCCCACGTTGATAGGTTTCACAGAAATCGGCATTGATGCCACAGGTTTCAATCCCCCCCTAGTGTTTACAATGAAAATTTTCAGAACCAACCCAAAACCTAAAAGCCTAGAACAGTAAACACGACCACCTACAATGTAGTTGTTAACACTTTGCGGAATTTGCTTTCCCCTCCCCCCTTCTCCCTCTCCTTCTTTTCACACAAAGATATATTTTTAAATTTTTTGGCTAACCCTAAAATTTCAGAGTGGCGTTTTATACTCTGAACCTACAGTGACATAATCTGAGGATCTGAATTCTAATTGCTGCTTTTTTTATGTCTTCTTTTGAAAGCAAATTGCAGATATATTTTTATCTCTCTTTTAATCCTGATATCCTCTCTCCACCTTGGCTTTTTAAAACATTTTTTTATTTTCCCTTGTTTACCAGAACAAGTCTTGATTTGATTCCTGACTACACCATTTAAACTGAGGTGTAATCATTTGTGGAATTTAAAGTCCGCATGTATAGGATTTGCCTGTGAATACTTGAAATTACAGATCATTTCTGCTGTTGCTTCACTTTTCTCACACCTCCCTTCTGTTGAGAGCGCCTCAGTTAAGAAACATTGCTACTCTGCTTGGCAATATTGATGATACATAAGAAGACTGAACTTTCTCATCATTTTTTATTGTGCCTCACCACATCCACGGTGGGAGTGTGATAATGGCATTACGAGAACCCTTATGTATTAAAGTCTCACTATTGATAGGGTATGAATAGAATCTGGTATTTAATATGAAATCTGAATAGTGTAATTTGAGGCAGAGCAATGCGCCTATTAAACTGTAGAGCTAAGAAATAACTTGGTCTGTGGAAGGAGGGTTTGCAGCAAGGGAATGCTACGGCTTTTGCTAAAATGATTTTGAATTTTCAAATATCTGAATTAAACACATGAGGTTGTCATGTTTTCATGTGTCTGTGATGTTGTTATACAACAGTCAGTTTTAATGAAAACATAAATATCTAAGTCATGATTTCTCCTTTTCAATTTTTCTCATCTAGAAGGAGCTAGCAAACAGCCCTGACTGTCCTCAGATGTGTGCCTATAAGCTGGTGACCATCAAATTCAAGTGGTGGGGACTGCAGAGCAAAGTAGAAAACTTCATTCAGAAGGTAAAATCTGTTAAAATGTGGTGACTTAAATTTAGGGTAAGATTTGAGCTAGCTATTAGTGGGATTTTTTTCTCCTTTTTGAGATGAAAATTATTGTCCCTGCATAATTCATTTCTGCCCTTCTTTTTATCCCTAGAAACAGCAAGGACAGATGCCAACAGATGTTTTAAGGGACTTTCTTTGGAGAAGAGCACAGCGCTTTTGTGTTCAAAGTGTTTTTCTTGTGGTTTGCCCAGCACTTCCTTGGAGAGTCCTTTTCATGTACAGCATGTCCCCAAGGGGACCTGGCATTCTGGCCCTGGCTTTAAGGGGAGGGCAGGCCCACCCTGCTGAGGGGCTCCTCTGCCCCAGCTCAGCTGGATACCCCCACCCCCAGTGTCTCTCATGATATATACACCTGTGCTTTCACAGGAAGCTTCTTTAGAGGTGCTTTCTGAGAATAGGTACACTCTGAACTAAGGTGACACAATCTGAGGATCCAAATTCTAATTGCTTTTTTATGTAGTTTTTATTAAAGTGAAAATAACATGGGCAGTTAGATCTAGGAAGGGGGGAGAATTGCAGTTGTATAAATACACATGGTTATTAATACACAGGGAATGTGGAAAGTTTCCTCGTATTTACTTTTCCTATAGTGTGAATATTTATTCCATTATTATTATAAAGAACCCTCATCATATCTCAGATTCCCACAACTAGTTGTGTCTGTTTCACTATAACCTTTCTACTTTTAAACTATAGCTGCTGTAACATTTTAAAAGAAAAGGGTCTTAAAGTGCTGGAAACTTTGATGATTCAAGGGCCTGCTTGTAGTTGGCCCACAGTAGGCCTTCTGTAAATATTGGCTTCTTTCCTTCCTTTTGGATCATAATAATAGATTAACAATCCAGTTTTAATAAATAGAAGTCACACATGTAATTGATGTAAGTCCCTTCTGCTCATGGAAAAAAATTAAAAAGTTGAAAATTATCCAGAAATACTTACTGTTCCATGCACTTTTCTCTCTTGGGAAAGTTGAGTAAAACTTAAATAATTCAGCAATTAAAACCACTAATTACAAATGTGGTTTTATATATATAGTAGCAGTAACATGTAGTGTAAAAAAGTTAATGGAGAGGATGTAATGATTCGTAATAAAACATCTTAATTCCAAAGAACCCAGGACTCTCTTCTTTCAATACATCACAGTATTCCTTTGAATTGTTAAGAATGACAGTGTATAGTTTTATAGCAGAAGAAATGTCGTTAACATGTGCTCATTGACATTTAGAGAAAGATAAAAATAAATCTGACCCAGCCAGAAGTATGTTGGATCAGATCATACACACCATGTTTTTTTTAGTGTCTACTAGATCATGACACCTTTGCCAGGGGAAATTGTTTTCCATTTCACAGGGAAATTTTTCTTTTTATCTTGCTGTACAGAATGATAATAGGATGGAATTAAGATTTTCACTAATCTATATAGTGGTCTTTTTAAACCAAGAACATGTAAATTTTATAGGTTAATCGGGACATGTAAAGTTAATGTGTCATTAATCTTAGGTTTTTGCCATCTTAAACTACTTTTTTTCGTTTGTTTTAACAGCAAGAAAAAAGGATATTTACAAACTTTCATCGCCAGCTTTTTTGTTGGATTGACAAGTGGATTGATCTGACGATGGAAGACATCAGGAGGATGGAAGATGAGACTCAGAAAGAATTAGAAACAGTAAGGCTTTCTGCTTATGGTAGTTCTCTAATTTCCCCTTTTCTTAAACTGTCTACATGCCTTAGTAAGTGTAGAGTTAAAATTAGGAAGAGTGTTATTAAAAGTTATTCCTTAATCTGTTTATCCCCCTCAAAATAGAGTTTCTTAAATGCTGATATTCCTTTGCATGTTCTGATTTCTCTTTCGTTGAGCATCTTTTGTGAAGGTAGGCTAGAGCTTTACTGAACTAGAATTTGTTACCTGTGAAATAGCCAGTGGTTTTGTATTCCTTCTCTAGTTCTCTGTGCTGGTACCTGGTTTATAGTAGAGCAAGTTGTCTTTGGCTGAGTTTGTGTCACAGCAGGTTACAAATGTTAGCACAGTAAATCCTAGTTCCTTCTGTAGAAAAGGTAAGGCTAGTGGTATTGTCATGGATTCCAGAAATGCCTCCTTCCCTTCCCCAACTAGCAGTGGACCCTTAATTCCTAAGCTTTAGGCAGAGTCAGGAGGTCAGCATGTCATGTTCTCATGTTAAAGGCCACCGCAGCTCTTCCCCACCGCTGGCGAGCAGGCCTTGTAGCCAGTGGGCATCTCTTCTCTTCCAGGGACAGATTCTTTGGCTTCTTCTTACATGTATCTGGTTTTGTTTTTGCCTGGGCCACGCTTGTCTTCAGTTGGCAGTAAGGCCCCACAGGGGAAACGAACCCAAGGAATGTCCAGGGCCTGCTGGTGGTTTCCATGTGGTCATCTCGGGCCGTGCCAGCAGGCCTGGTTTTGGAAACCCTGCAGGTGTGATTATTTGACGAATGCCTGTGTGTGAGGCAGGAACTCCATTTAATTATAGGAGAATGGCAGCAAATCAGGTTCTTTGGCACAGAAGGAAATCTGTTTTTTTGGCACATAGCATCGTTTGAATCTGTGTTTAAAATTGCTTACTTTTGGTGATTACAGCAGATCTGCTTCTAATTAGCTTTATACAAACCTTCTGAGAGGACTAGGACATATTTTCTTTATAAGGCAATAAAATGTTTTAACCTTATCTTATACATAAAGTAAACTATAGACGGACTCCAACTTATGAATGGGTTTTGTTCCAGAAATTAAGTTGATTGTTTGAAATTTGGAACATATTTTCCCATAGAGACAACATTATAAATTAGGGTTTGGTTTCTAGATTAGCCAATGGAAGCCTCTTTTTCCCCAGTTTCTCATACTAATAGCAAGACTCTGAGTTCTGGAAATTGGGAGTAGGGTGGTGAAATAGCAAGGATGGAAGATGCTCCCTCACCCCCTTATTTTTAGCCTGGCCACAGGCAAAGTATTTAAACAGGTGAGAGTAGGTCATGGGTACTTCCTACTTTTCATGCCTCTCTCCCACTTCCTGTTTTCTCTTTCTCAAGAGTCGCACCCATCTATGGTGGTGGGTCTGCAGGCTCAGCCTCTTCTCTGCGCATGTCAGTCATTTGTGAAGAGGGAATTGCACCTGTAAGGTGTAAGATAGACAAGTAGTTTCATAGAAGCCCAATTTATTAGACAGTATCATCATTCTTGTACCCACATGGCATGAAGATGGTAGAAATCTGTCACTGCTTCAGGGTGGAGGTACATAGTGGTTTCTTGGTTAAGTATTTCAAAAACATTTTAAGACAGATTTCAGCATTAAGAGCGGATCATCTTAATCTAAGTCCTTTTTACTGTAGGTCATTGGGGAGTGCTTCATTCCCTGTGGCAGTGCTGCTGCCCTGAGTGCTGGCAGCTGGTCTGTGAGCATGTTCAGGATCGGCAGCACTGTGCCTGCAGGCCCAGAATCCCTACCGGAAAGCACCCCTCCTGAGGAGGCTTAACGTTTTAAAGTCCTCTTCACCACTCAGGAATTTCCCCTTTTCTTGAGGTCCTGACACCCAATGATGGAATTTGATACATTGTAACGCTCTTAATTTGTGAATATTTTAAGAATTGGGTTTCTTTCAAATGCATTTTGGCCCCAGAGAGAAGAACTAGTTTCTTGGGAGGTTAGGCTCCAGAGGAATGCCTCTGCCTGGAATCCTGCAGGGAACTCCTGGAGTTAGATCTGGCAGCTGGAGGAGGACTTTGGGTAAACCATATACCTGTTTGTTCTCAACTGGCACTTCTAGGGGCAGAGCGTGAGAGTATGTGTTGAGTTTTGGAAATGTATTTATTGCATTGTTTGTTTTGTGTGCATTTATTTTTTGATTTTTCCTGTTGAGTTTTTTGTCTGTGGGTTGTTATTGTGCATTCCTGTCTCTATGTCCTGCATTGTTTGCCATGCATTATTTCTGTGCTTATTCGCTCTTCCTTTCATTCTTTCTCTTTTAAGTAAACTTCTTTCAAAGAACTCTACTCAGAGACTCTGGTCTCAGAAGTAGCCAGAGGTGGCCATACCATCATGGCTTCCTGTCTGGTCTAGGGACTATAAAAATAAAGACCGGACCGATGTGGCATTTTCTCACATTATATTGGCAAACAGTTTATTTACTCATTGGCTATCTTTTCAATTAAATATTGTCAGTCTGCGAGCTTTTCTACATTCAAGAATAGATATATATTTTTTGTGCTTGTGTGTAAATAGCCTTTTGCAAGATTGTCTTTAAACCCACTAGAGGGGCCTCAGAACTTCTTTCTTCATGTAGATGATGGTTATAAACAGGCAGCCATCACTTCATAATCTCTTCTAGATCTTTTTTCTCCCCTTGCTTACTAACTCCTTATTTAGAGTCTGATTTCAGCAGCTCACAATTTTATTTTACATTTAGATGCGTAAGAAGGGTTCCGTTCGAGGCACGTCGGCTGCTGATGTCTAGATGAGTCCCCTGTAGGGTCAGAGACAATATCAAACTGTGTAAGTGAAGACCTGGGTAAAAAGACGTTTAAAAACCTATACCTTTTTGGTGATGGGTAGTTAACTTTCTAAGCAGAGGCTCTAACTGTTAAATGTGGTTTTATTTTTAGGATTTAAAAGATAAATATTTTAGAAATTGACAGTGAACACTTGAGTTATTCTTTAAGAATTTTATCTGTGGAACAGGTTTAATTTAGTAATCCCAGGCCAGTTGTTAGTGTTAAGGGTTAGAGCCCAGCTGTTAAATGCACATGTTCATCACATAGCATTGTCCTAGAAGCTGGCTGATTTTTTGATAGCCAGTTAATTCACCTGTTTCTCAGTAGAACCATTTGTGGTTAGTAAGGAAGTATGTAAAAGTATTTTAAATCAAACAAGATTCTTCATTCCATAGTGTAAGGACCAACCTCTATAATTCGTTTTAGTTGAAATTTTTTCTGTGTACCAGAAAGTCTTCCTTCATGTTTAATCTTCAGTTATCTTTATAGTTAGCTTTACTCTGTGTAAATTCACTGTGGTTTTACTTTACAGTGTGAAACATCTCAGTGGTCTTATTTCTCTAAGACAAATTTATACGCCCAGGTAACAGATTTTCCAGGGGGCAGGGGGGAGAGCATCAGAATCTACCCCACATACTGAAACCAGTATGCGTAAACAAATAGCAATAGTATACTGTCGTCATTCGTAAATATGGAACTACAGTATTTATTGAAGAAAAAAACAAGACATAACACTCCCGTCTGCCACTGTGGTTCTTTGCTGCCCCTTACGTGAGCTACCTGCTCTTTAATTATTGAACATGAAAGGGTAAATGAAGTGTTCTGTTGTGAATAAAAAGTAGTTGTTCGAAATAAGAATGAAGTAACTCTTCCAAGATTCCCCTAAAGTCCTTTGTTTAAATTCAATGTTCATTAAAACAATTTTTTTTATTTTTACTTTTGTTAAGTTCTCTTGTTTCTGTGATTTATTTTGTGATTCTGCTTCTAATTTATTTTTCCCCTCTGATGAAACAAAATGGGATGCCATTATTAGTAAGACTAAAATCTCTTTAAATAGATAAAGTTTTTAAATATGCAGTAGTTGGGGTATATTTTATGCCAAAAGTTTTGCTGCATTGAGAACTTTTTTGGGAGAATGTGTGTGACAGGCTGCTGCCTCACATTTTCTGTGTCTTCCTGCATTTTAACACATTTTGCACTGTCTCTCACTTCTCTTACAGTTACGTAATCAAGGTCAAGTGAGGGGAACAAGTGCAGCCAGTGATGAGTGAAGAATCTGACCAGTATCTTACAGTGTTGAAGTTTCCCAGCGTTTGCTTGTGATGATATGCACACATGCACAGGTTCCCAGCCACGTGTGTATACGTGTGTGTGTGTCTGTAGCTGTATATAAAACGCATGTAGAGCTACAGATCCAGATACACGTTTGTGTATATATGTACATACAGACATACTGAAGGGATTAGTACAATTTCTCCAAAGTACTGTACCTATCTTCAGCAAGAATGCAAAAGAAAATATTTTCAATATATATACCTGGAACAGATTTTAATAAGTATCAGAGTAATACCATTAATGGACAAATTTGACTGCATTGTAATACTAGCTGGTATGTTTCATAAATGTCAAGCTGTGGACCAATATATATAGCCTTTTGTTATTTCTGTTGTTTTAAATCAGTCTCTTATAAATTTTTATTTTAGTCCCATAAGCAGCAGACTCCCACAGAAAAATTTCTTCAAAATTTTTTGGTATTCCAGTGAATCTGGAATGTAAACTCAGAATGTATTTATAACTATTTATTTCTGGACGGTTATTATCTTGTAGCCAAATTTGACAATATCTATTAAGTAAGGAGTAAAGTTACAGGCAAGTTTTTACTTATTTGCCCTGAGGGAAAAATCCTTTTAAAAAAAATTTCTGGTTTTTATTGGATTTTTGTATTTTAAATTTCAAATATTTTTCTATATCAAACCTAGCAAAAATGGAGATGACGGTTTGTGATTTATAGTAAACACTAGACAATTTTCAGGCTCCTGTTAGGCAAATTGGTGAAGAAATTAATCTTAATAATATTGTAGGCTATGTAGAAAAATTGAAAGCATGGGACTTCCGTGGAGTCTTGTTTTGGAAATGATTTTTCTGGATTAACAGCTTGGAAACTATGCAAATGGTCTAGGTTCCTCACAGCTCACACGATACGATGTAGATAGTGATGACATTTTGCTCTTTCATGTTGAAATACACTTCAAGGAGGAGATGCTGCCTTTGAGATAGAAGTTTAAGACTCAGTGTCTCGGCTGCGCACGATTAGGGGCCCTGCCAAGGGGCCCGCGGACCTGACTCTGGGACACGCCCCCAAGTAGGGTGTCATCAGAACATATCCTGAATTCCTAAATGGGCATCATGAGGATGCTGGTTAGAAGCCACTGCCACCCTTTTCTTTTCTTCTTTTTCTTTTTTAAAGAACAATAGCTAGATAAGATTTTTTATAAGCTTTCTCTGTCCGAATCCAGTTTTTCTCCTGTCAGTCCTGGAAGCTTGAATAGAATAATGTTGTTGAAGCCTTCAGGTCACAAACTGTCTTTTTTAACCTCTCGTCCTTCCTAAAACACGCCAACCCTGCAGTCAGACCACGTTAGTGATCTGATTTGCTGACAGTCCTGCCCTCCCTGCCCCGAGTTTTCACACACGTCCCGCGTCCCCTCTGGAGCGATCGCAGCGAATCAGACAAGGAAGGATGTTTAGGATCACTACTGCATTGCGATGCCCTGTACCCTCAGCAGCAAACCCCACATTTCATACATCCTTTGTGTACTCAGGATAAAGACTGATGTTTACTCTCTGGACACTGTTGTAAGATAGGTTTTGTTAGAGCATAATCATTGTCTGCAAAGTGTTTGGTGCGAGGAAGATTCTTGCTAATTTTGTGAAATGAAGAGTCTAGCCCTCTCTTTTTAATGAACTTAACTCTCACTGGCATCTGTAGTATCATTGGGAGCTTGGGCACACATGGAAATGAGAGCCTGGCGCATGGATTTTAATGTTTTTCTAACAACTGTGGAGATTTGAGGGAATGTGTGGTGAATGTAAAATACCTAGTTTACTTGGCAGTCTCTTGTGTAAATTACAGTAAAACAAAGTAAATGAAATTTAAACAAAAAATAAATTTGATCACAAAATGCCACTTGTGTGCTTGAGTGGTTGTTTCCCTGATGCCACGTCTGGTTTGGGACAACGCAGACCACTTCTCTGCTCGTTTTTCAGGAATTGTCTAAATTGCAGCACTACCTACCACTCGGGGAAAAGCAAAGAAAACACATTTTTTATTTTTTATTGGCAACTCTTATTCTTGAAATGCACCTATACCACACTAAATTGTTATGTTTGGTTTCTTAAATAATTTTTTGTCTTTAAAAGCTTAGCAGTAAACTAAAGAAGGATTATATATTATTAGTCTCAGAGCTTTCTAAAAATTATTTTTAAAAGGAAAAATAGGGAAACCCATAGTATTTTTAAGCACTCAGTAAGGATTTTGGCATTATCTGATTGTTTAAAGATTGTGGCTTTGTGTTTTGGGGCCACTTCTTACCTTTCCTTCTGTAGGACTGTGTCATGTCTGGTCAACTTTTTTGTGTGTGTAACAACTATATTCTTGTGGTTGTAGCTGACATTCTAGGGCTGCTTAACATTAGGAGAGAGAGCCCAGTTGTGTGGATGGATTTAATATGTAATCTTTTATGTTTGGGTGTCTTTTGGTTTGTTTTCTGAGGTAAGTTTCTCAATGTTCTATTTCAGACATAATGTTTGCACTTGTGGTGACTCATTCGTGCATTCAGCAGTCTGAGCACGCGGCACTCGGTCTCGCTAGAGGGACCGAGATGAACGAAGGTAGTGCACGTCCCAGTGTGGCACACAGACATCAGTGTGATCGTCATTTAAGCGTAGAGAGTTCTTTGAGAGGGACCTGAGACACCATCTTCATTGTGTAGATGGGAAAGCAAAAGTCACCAAAGATGGCTGGGTCCCAAGGAGCCCGGGGCGCCAGCTCTGGGGCAGGGTCAGGCACACCTGGGGAGCCTCCTGGTTCCTGGCTGGGTCTTGCACTCCTTGTCTGTCAGCGGAGGCCAGTAACGCTCAGCTGCAAGGGTTGGGGTCAGTTGAGTCTTGGAGTTCTCTGGCCCCAGGGAGGTCCTCTAGGGCCTGTTCCATCCATTTACCAAACGGCCTCTTAGTGGATAGAAAATCACTTGAATCTCCTGTACCTGTGGACCTAACACCTGCCTTTTGAAGTTTACTTTTCTGTCCCTTCTTCAACTTATACTACAGTGTAAAGTTTCCAGGCCCAGCTTCCTCCATGAGTCTTGTCTCTGAGGAAGTGAGAGGCGTTTGTTGACATTTGCACATCTCTCAGCAGCTTAGCTGACCAGGGCACAACGTGCCATTCCCTGTTTTGTTCATTTGGAAAGAGAATGTTCTAACTTTGTTCTTAGACCCTCAGATTCGATCTCATAAGAGCCACAGAATGTTACGGGATGGAGTTTACTGGATCCAAAACCTTTTGTTTTTTTCAAGTTACACTCACTGCCAATTTTAGAGTTTGGGGCTTTGCATGACTGGGAGGGAAGGAGAGTGCTGGAGAACAGGTTAAAGGTTGTCCTGCTGAGCTTGGAGCATCTCTGGCCAACCGAGAGTGCTTCCCAGGAGCCCTGCTAGTGTCACTTGGCGTTATGCTTTCTTATTTGTACGTGTTAAGCAACAGCAGGTCCCTTCAAAACCACTTCTTCAACTGGGTTGCATTCGGGAAAAGTAGAAATTGCAGATAGTCCAAAGCTGCCTTGCACAGAAGTTCCAGGACCAACCTAACTGTTCAGAACAGTGCTCAGCAGCCCGGGTCCCCTGACGCTTTGATGTCCGTCCCTGCCACCTGAAAGTGCCCAGCGGCAAGGCATCTTTATTCTTTTAAAAGGAATTTGGAACAAACTTTTGCTTCCCCCACTCCCTTAAGATCACTTCTGTCCCCAGAGGATCTTGTAATCTTATCTGAGAAAGCCCTATTTCATGACTTCCTTATTATACATTTACATTTTTCTCTTCCATTGAGTTACATCATGAGTTAAAACTTGTCCCTGGCTGGGCATTGGAGGCCTGTGAGCCTAGCACTCTGGGAGGCTGAGGCAGGAGGGTCACGTGAGCTCAGGAGTTTGAGACCAGCCTGAGCAAGAGCGAGACCCCGTTTCTATGAAAAATGGAAAAATTAGCTGGGCATCATGGTATGCCTGTAGGCCCAGCTACTGGGGAGGCTGAGGCAGGAGGATCACTTGAGCCCAGGAGTTTGAGGTTGCTGTGAGCTTGGCTGACACCATGGCACTCTACTCAGGGCGACAGAATGAGACTCTGTCTCAAAAAACAAATTGTCCCTGATTAAAAAAGAATGTTTCCTCCCTTCCAGGTCTTCTCATTGTGCGCAGACTATGTCTTCAGGACTCTCATCCCTTGAGAAACGCTACAGAGTCTGGTTTGAAAAAATTGAACTCATGAAAACTAATGTTCTCAGCCCTGGGTGCACGTTAGAATTAAGTGGGGAGCCTTTAGAAATAGCAGTTACCTTCCAGTTGTCTTTCGACAGCTTGAGTTTGGTGTGCCCTCTTTTCAGGGGATGGGGAAAGCGAGGAGAATCCCCGTTCTCTCTTCCTGGAAGGTCGTTGAGATGACTGCCTCCTCTCTGGGTAATGAGATTCCCACCCATTCTTCAAAGCCCTGGGCCAAGTGCCACTTCCTCCAGGAAGCCTTCCTTAACTTGTAGTGACTCCCTCTGCAGTGGTTTCACACCCTCATTTTGCTCTTACAGACTAGTATATGCCTCGGTTAATAGATGTCATCTTTAAATCTCTATGTTTTGTGGCCCATGTTAGTTTGAGAACTCCTTGGGTGCCATAGTTGAACCCCAAGTCACTTACCTTGCTGGAAACCGACTCTCAAATTGCTCCTTTTTTACCTGCAATAGATAGTTGTCTGTCCTATGCCAAGGCTCCTTTAGAGTCCTGGGGTTTGAGGAGAGGGGAGTATATAACCAAAAGTCAGATCTAATTTCTGCCCTAACTTGCTGTAACAGGATATAGTATTTATGCTAGCTAACAGCGCAAAATACGGTGAGAGAACAGAGGAGGGAGCTCCAAGTCTGCATTTTCCTCTTGGCTTTCCAGACACCTGAACTGGAGGTTTCAGAGACTCTTTAAAGGAGTCTAAACAAAACTCTTCTTAGCCCTTACTCCTTCCCCAAAGTGTACTGTCTGTTCCTCCTATCAACTCCATCACTGGCTGTGCTACCCCAGCCAGAAATCCTAATTGGTTCCCTAGTCTCAAAAAGTGTCCCCAGATGCCTGCAAAATCCTGCTCCTCTTTTTTGTCCTGGCCCAATCCAAACCATGCTCTGATGGACCATCATCTAGGGCAGGAGCTCAAAAACCCTGCAAAAGGCTAAATAGTAAATATTTTAGGCTTTGTGGGCCATGTGTTCTATTACATCTATTCAGTTCTGCATTTGTAATGCAAAAACCGTCATAGAGAATACATAAATAGTATGTCTGTTCCAGTAAAACTTTATTGACACACACAGACGGCTCAATTTGAGTAATGAGACCAATAACTCATTTGCCAAGCCCTGGGGCAGGACACTGTATGGATAACCTTAATCAGGGTCTGCCAGAGCTAACTTTCTAGGCCGTTCCTGGCGGTGCTGCGCCCCTGCTTAGCACTGAGGCCCCAAAGCCCAGTGCGGCCGAAGCCAGTGTCCAGGGTGAGCCTCTTTCTGCCATTAGTAAAGTGGGGCCTGTGGCAGGTCAGTCACAGGTGAAAGGGATTGAGCGGATTGCCCGGTGGCCCTTACGTCTGTGTTGACCATAAAAGTATTAATAGCTCTGAGCATCTGATTCCTAACCAACAGGAGTGGAAAGTTAAAGGCTGGAGCTATGATGTGTTGACAAAAGTCATTGATGTATGAAATGCAATGATGATAATTCTGGGTAAAGCCTTCTCAATTGGCATATTTTATTTCTCTGTTGTCCAGAAAATACCATCGGTGGCTGTTACACTAATGCCGTGCTCATGGAAAGGCTTGTAGACACCCTATACCTTTTCCACAGTGGAAACTGGACTCTCTAGATGCCATTGCTAACGTTGCGCTGGGCTAGGTGTCAGGGCTCCTGATGGGGAACACCACCACCCGGCCTTTGCCTAGAAAACTGACCCAGGGTTTCCCTGAGTCAGTGCTGCTTGACCTTGGGTTGAGTCTGTTTACTTCTTAGGTTTCTGGGAAGCGGTGAAGCACCATGACACGCCTCCACCTTGTTGATCCCTTCTAAACTCTGACGCCACCTGCCCATCAGGCAGTGGCAGAACTGCCTTGCGCTCCAGACGGAGGGAGTTTCGTGAAGTGGAACGCAGGAGTGGCTTACAGTGTTTATTAATGTATGTGCTAAACAAAAGCTTCGCCTCTGGGCATCGCATTGCAGGCTAGGCTCCCTGCAGCCCGGAATACTGCTGGCGTGTTCTCAGCACCACCTCCACTTTCCCCTGGCCCAGGAGGCCCTGAAGCACCTTGTCAGCCTACCGAGAGGTGCTGAGAGTTCTTCCATCCAAGGTGTCCTGTAGCCCTCTCTCCCAGAACGTCCTTCCAAGACAGGCACTACGTAGAACGAGAAACTTCCTCCAAGTAAGGCTGGAGGAGGTGTAGGATCAGGGCCAGAACAGCAATGCGTAGACATCACAGTCCGATCATTCCTTTAAGTCAGGGGCCAGCAAACTTTCCGTAAAGGGCTGGGTAGTAAGTATTTTTGGCCTTCTGGGCCATGCAGTCTCTGTTGCAGCTCTGCCTTTCCAGTGGGAAAATAGCCAGAGACATTACATAAATGATTGGACATGGCTGCATTTCAATAAAACTTTATTTACACAAACTGGCTGCAGGTTGGATTTGGCCCAAGAGCCATGGTTTGCCAACCCCTGCTTAAAGATTCTTCCTATGGGCATTCCTCTTTACCTAACAGATTGCATTTAAAAAAAAAAATACCAGCTGATACTTAATAGCACCTACTATGTGTCAGGCGCTGTTCAAAACACAACCCATAATTGGCCTTACAGCCACCCTATGAGGTAGATGAAGAAACTGAGGCCCAGATCAGTCTAACT